ATAATAATAATAATCATCATCATCATCATCATCATCATCATCATCATCATCATCATCATCATCATAAACATAATAAATTATGAATAATCAGAGATAGGCTTATTCAGATTAAACACATGTAATTCAATCCTGTGATTAGGCATTAAGACATGTACTGTATGTATAAAAATAAACACATCGGAAAAAACAGCGGTGATTTATCCAAATCCAATTTAACCATACTATCTTTCACCAGATATCCCAAGTCATTTTCATTCAACCCATTATGAAATTTCTTCCCAGATTATCACCAGAGTACTGACGCCGCCACCAGCAAAGCAGAACAGCTACTACTACCTAGTTAGCTGAAAATCAAGCAAGTGGTGTTTGATTATGATAACTGTCGTATAGTGTGGATTTTTTAATTATTAGTTTTTGGTCCCACGCTCAACCTAGAAGGAAGCAGTGGTCCTACAAAGCCATGACTGATCAGAATACCCAAGAGAAGCAGCAAGTGTTGCTCAGCAGTTAAGGAAAGAAAGTAAAATCTCAAGTAGTATGCTTTGCTCTTACTATCTCTCGGAAGGACAGAAGCCGTTGTCTGGATAAATCCTGATGAAAGAACAAAAATGATGGAGAATGGCCATGAGGAAGGTTCAGGAAAATATACATTCAGAGAAGGGAGAGTATTAGGGAGGTTAATTGTATGCCAATTTGGACTTTCAAGTTAAGGAAAATATGTCTACCAACAGTGAACTGATTATCAGAGTTATGAATCCTTGTAAAGCCAAAGCAAACACCATTCATCTAGGAGCAAGAGATATGAACTTGGAAAAATCTTACAGAAGAAAGAAAAAAAAAGATCTGAGGGATAAAGAGAAAAAAAATATTCAATTATTTTTACTCTTGGAGGTCCCTAAAATGGATAGATAATTGATTCTATTTTTTCTCATATAACAGTTTGGTGAATCAGATTTAGAAAATGTGAAAAGTGACTTCCCTTCAATTCAGTTGAATTCCTGCTGACTATGTGAATATATTCAGGTGGTTCTTATGGGAAGAACAGACCATTAGCTTTTTTTTCAGAATTATTTTTATAATTTTCCAATCTAAACAAGTCTGGAATGTTCTGGGAATTTTCTATCCACATATTTACAGATCCACCCCTCCTTAATAAATATATGCACAAACTAAATATTCTCTTCCTCCTCTGAATTATGTTGATCTGGCAGTTTTCTAGGACTTTAGGATGAGCTTTTAAAACAAGAATCAGTCAAAGCCAACAAACAGTTGCCACCTGCTGTTCAGGAAAGTGAAGATTGTGCCAGCTGTGAGGTTCGAGGGATGTGTCCGACTGATTTCTCTTGAAGAGCAGAGGTGTATATCTTTTCTGACTCCTACTCCATGACACAATTAGAGTCGTAGGAAAAGATCAACATTTAAAAAGCAGTCCCTGGCCTTGCTTGCAATGGATCTACTTAACATCTCCCCGTGTGATTGATATATTTAAATGGAGTACATTTAATGGGAGATTCACTCAATCTTTATGAAACCAAGGGAAATGGCATGTCTGCAATCTGTCTCAATTAACCTATTCTGCCTTCACAACTCAGACGGTATCATTTGTTGTGGAAAGAAAACCGGGAGGAAAATACAATGCTAAACAATAATCACATGTGTATTTCATCAAATATTTGCTGAGCCACCAGGCATCGCCAAGTTCCTAAACCAAAACAAAAGTTTGTGTGTTTGAAAAAAAATGCAAGTGATTGTTTTGTTTATTAGAGGAAAACCTCAGGGTGAACTTGTTGGGGGAATATTGCTGTAGATTGTATTTATCTGAAGCAATTAACCTAAGCAGAATAGCTCAGTGGGAAAAAGACCTTGGTTTGTTGTTAACATAAAACCAAAGGCACAAAAGAAAGGCAGAATTTAAACTTTTGCTAAACAACTAGAACTACTTTAACTACGTTTTTCTAGAACTACTTTTTAAAACTTCTTTCCAGGGTACGCACGTACACTCTCTTCCCACTGTTTACTCACCTCAGTGGTGATATCACAAAGAAGCCCATTACAATGTGATGCAAGCAAAAGCAGATCCCCTCACACACATCAGAGGTGGGTTCCTACCAGTTCGCACCTATTCGGTAGAACCGGTTCGTCAAATCTACCGAACCGGTTAGAAGAGGTTCCACCAGTGGA